TATTCTGGTAGTTTTGACCATACTATTTTCCTCAGTGTTCAACTGCCATTTTCCCCTCTTAAATAGTATAATTGTATTGAGTTCCTTTTTTTATCTGTCTTAACAATGATATACCATTTTCTAACATTTAAATACCTAATTATTAATAATTTTTAGGATGTAGTATAGTTGTATCAATTTTTTTATTAATCTCAACATTAATATTAAATTTTTCATGTTTTAAGTACCAAGTTTTTATTTTTTTTTATTTGAAAGTTGGTTTTAAGTTTTTTATCAGCTTTAACACTAAGATGCCATTGTTACAGATTTAAATTCTTTATTATTTTGACATTTTTCAAAGAGCATTATTTGTACATTTTATTTTTTACCAGCTCAATAACGATATAAGATTTTTAACAGATTTTAACACCTGCGTATCAAATACCTTATTCTATCTTTTAAAACTTTCTGACGGTATTATTGTATCCAGATAAAATCAGCTTCACAATGCATATGATTTTTTCTCCAAGCTCAGTAATTTGAAATTTATTTTTTAAAAAAAGAAAAGATCGTCACTATATTTTATAGCGATTTTTATCAGATTTTACACTGTTAGAAATTTTTCTGCAACCTTATTGATGTGGTCATATTATGGAACAAATTAACCCTTGTTAAATTACATTACATGCAATAGGGTTCAACTTAATCGAAAACAAAAAATTCAATTAAACATCATTATTAGGATTTAACGGTATAAGCTATTTGTCTTAGAGTGTGTCTAGAGTTGTTTACGAAAGATTTAGTAGCTGCAAATTAGTCAACTTTCCTTCTCTTCTATTTATTATTACTATATATACATATTTTTTACAATTTACAGATTAATGAATATACATAATAATGCATGCATTAAGGGTTTTGACTTATTCTTTAATTTGAAAGAAAATAGCCCTTAAAATTATGCCTATTTGATAACCTTCCTACGTAGAGTTTTTACATAGAGTGTAAAGTACATTTTTATTTTAGTGAAATTTATAATATATGAAGCTTTTAAATAAAATATTGAGTATTTACACAAGTTTTAAAAATTAAATTATGAATAATTCAGTTTAATTAATTTTTTAACCAAGAAGAATTTTAACTTACGAAAAATAACGCAGAGTAACTTCATATCTTTAAACAAATTGTAAAACTTTTTTTGTTACACAATCCATCGATTAAAATATTTTCTGCGATGTTAAAAATTTTGAACATTGAACTATAATGTAGTGCAAATTTTATCCAACCTTAATATGATGTCAAGTTGTAGCATATTATAGTGTAAATTAAATATTCCTAAATTTCATTGTACAAAATTATAGTTGAATAAAATTCAACAAGTAACCTATTAAGACTGTGGCAAATTTACACAATGTTATTATTCAATGCTGTGAATATTCAATGTTTCAATCTTAAATTGAATTTTGAAGAACTTAAAACCATAATATAAGGCAAAATAGCTCCAACCTTAATATGATGTCAAGTTGTACCATATTATAATGTAAACAAAACTTTCTTAAACTTGCTCGTATGAAATTATGGTTAAATAGGCTTTAATTTAAACGCTATCAGGCTTTAACACAGTTACACAATATTATAATTCAAAGTATAACCGAATTTCGGAGAATGTTAAACCATAATGTAGTGCAACTTGCTCCAATTTTAAAATAATACCAAGTTGCACAGTATTATAATGTAAATTAATTAATCCTTATCTTGATTGCACGAACTTGTGGATTAACACAGTTCAATTTGTCGCAATTTAAGTGGCAATAAATTTATACAATTATTGATCATTCTTGAACCGAATTTCTTGATAGAATAGAATTCATTAGGATATAGTTTTCTATCAGCGTTTAAATATTTACGTTGATACATGAACTTATGGATCAACAAGGTTCAATTTGACCCTATTTAAGTTACAGCAAATTTTACACAATCATGGTTTATTCTTGATCCGAATTTCTTCATAGAGTGGAATTCATCGGAATAAAGTTTTCTATCAGAGTCTAAGTGCTTATGTAGATACATGAATTAATGGATCAACAAGATTCAAATTGACCCTATTTAAAATACAGCAAATTTACACAATTATGCTTCTTTCTTGAACCGAATTTCTTGATAGAATAGAATTCATTAGGATATAGTTTTCTATCAGCGTTTAAATATTTACGTTGATACATGAACTTATGGATCAACAAGGTTCAATTTGACCCTATTTAAGTTACAGCAAATTTTACACAATCATGGTTTATTCTTGAACCGAATTTCTTCATAGAATGGAATTCATCGGAATAAAGTTTTCTATCAGAGTCTAAGTGCTTATGTTGATACATGAATTAATGGATCAACAAGATTCAAATTGACCCTATTTAAAATACAGCAAATTTACTCAATTATGCTTCTTTCTTGAACCGAATTTCTTGATAGAATAGAATTCATAAGAATAAAGTTTTCTATCAGCGTCTAAGTACTTATGTTGATACATGAACTTATGGATCAATAAGATTTAAAATACAGCAAATTTACTCAATTATGGCTCTCTTGAACTGAATTTCTTGACAGAATAGAATTCATTAGGATATAGTTTTCTATCAGCGTTTAAATATTTACGTTGGTACATGAACTTATGGATCAACAAGGTTCAATTTGATTTCATTTAAGTTTCATCAAATTTACACAATCATGGTTTATTCTTGAACCGAATTTCTTGATAGAGTAGAATTCATCAGAATAAAGTTTTCTCTCAGTGTTTAAATAGCGTAGTATGATTTATATTCTTCCATAACCAGAGGAAGAAGAATTTGATAGACTGAAATATATAATCAAGAAAAACGATGTAACGATTCCGTATGCCGCCATATGAATAACCTGGGGCAGGATACAAAACGGTGTCCGTGTGTGTCACAGTCTGTCCCGTAATTGCCCAAATGACATACTAGGAGACATCGAATGATGAAGAATCAAATGATAGGACGAACTACTAAATGAGTCCTTGTTTTGATGATCGAGCGCCTAAAGTAATGTCCGCCGAGATCCATTTTTTTTTCCTTCCCCCTTTTTAACATTTTCAGCGGTGACTGGAATTCGATATGTAATTACAATTAAAATGCTCAATTACTTTTACCTTGCACTCTATCTATCCAACTATTTTTGCCATCCACTCTTTATAAATACGTTTTTTTTCCTCTTTTTTAAGTAGATGATATTTATTGTTTCGAAGAACAATGTGCTAAGTGCTTTCCTATTTCCGATGCAAAGTTCCGAGAAAGCTGTTTGAAACATATTTTCCGTTGAAAATAGAAAAGATGAATTGAAAGTAAAGTTATTGTTTCGATGAGCAATGTGTTAAGTGGATAGAGCTTTTCTATTTCCAATGCGAAGTTCCGAGAAAGCTGTTTAAAGCATCTTTTCTATTGAAAATAGAAAAGATGAGTTGAAAGAAAAATTCAAAGACTCAGTACAATAATATATAAATATATCTTTATTATTATAAATGACTTTAGCATGTTTTTACATCTGCACATTAGGCCACTTTTAAAATTCTAGTGAGTGTTTAAACAACACACTGAGAAAAAAGTATGGTCAAAACTACCAGTATATGGTAAAATTTGGTGTTTCTGGCTCTATGGGAACACCAAAAAGTTCGGGAATTTTTAAAGAAGCTCTTTGGTAAAATTAACAATAAAATATGATTTTATAAGTGATAAAATTGGGTAAAAGTGATAAAATTTGGTAATTTTAATTAAGATACCTAAGAGCATGACATAAAAATCATTTATTTGGTTAAATTTACTTTTGAGTTTTGTATTTTTTACTGAATGTGTTTTAATAAGAACTATAGTTTTTAAAGTCAGAATTTCCGGTGAACCGTTACCATATGAAAGGAAAAATTACCTTATGAAATGTTTAAATACCAAATATTTTGGTTTTATTAACCAGAATTATGGTTACTTTTACCATAAATCCCATAATCATGCAGTACGGAAATTTTTATCAGAAATTTTTTTTCTCCGTACGAAATTATTCAATCCAACTACGGTGATTCTACAAAAAAAAAAGGATGATTTTCGTCTGTCTTCGTTAATGAATGTAATTGAGTTTAAAAATTATAAATATACAATAGAAATGTTAATTAAACGTTATCTAATGAAATTTTAAATCACACAACCCTGATTATTTTTGAACGTAATAATAACGTTTATTGCCTTGGTAAATTACAAAATAAAATTTAAAAGCTACGTAATGTGTTTAAAAGTTACATAAGTCTTTTTATTTATTTCCGAGAAAGCTGGAATCTCCGCATCGCCCCAATAATATTTCAAATTATTTCTGATTTATCATGTTTTAAAAATACGCTTCAAAAGAATTAAAATAGAACCAAATAGACACATTTAGTAGAAAATATAGCAGAAATGTTTCATTAATATTCCATTAAAATGCTGGTATATTTCTAAGATTACAATTTAGAAATATTTTTGGATGCAAAATTAAGAACTATATATTATAAGAATCAAAGAAATTCCGAAACATAAGGACATAGAAATTGTACAGATCCAAATTGAAATATTTCAAAGAAAACATTGCAGAAATATTTCATAAATATTATAAGATCTCACTATCGAAATTTGGTAGCATCATTAAGAACTATACATTTTGTGAGATTAATAATAATTCCGCAACATAACGGCATAAAAATTACTTTGGAACCAAATCGTGATTTTTAAAAGAAGACATTGCAAAAATATTTCGTTAATCTCCTTCTTATACACTCTAAAAACTGTACCTCTTAAATAAAAGGCACAAGCTAAATGTACCCTTTATTTTCTCGCGTTAGAGGCACATAACTAATGTGCCTTTAAAAATGAGAGGCACCACAAGAAATGAAGGGCACCAAAGCAAACGCGAGTCAATGTGCGGTACGAAAGGATTTTACCGGTTCCCTGTGCCTCTCAAATGGGCTTCCCTTTTTTTTCTTCGGTACGATGTAACGGAGAAGAAGCGCATGCGCACATCAATGAAATATTTTATGACGAAATACAAATAATAAAAGCAGACGATAAAATTAGAACACCAGAAAGTTGTTGATTTTTTAGAATTAGTTTTGTGTGGAATTTGAGTTTTCATATTACCCGTTACGGGTTTATCTAGTTTGTTTTATGATATTTTATCTATCCCGTTACGGGTGAGTTTTCATATATCCCGCTACGGGCACTTTTTCTAGTTTCCTTTATAAGATTTAACTATCCCGTTACGGGTACTTTATATTTGTTATTGTATTTGTTGTGGTGTGAAATAAATGTTTTTATAAAAAAACTGAACAGTTCTTTAATATAGCTTGATACGCTACAGCTATGTATTAATTGGTGGCAGCGGTGGGATCCGTTCCAGAAATGTTTTATTAAGTTTTTGAAAGAATTGGTGACAAATATTATTGTTATTAAGGATTTCCTACTTTAGAAAAAATTAGTGAATGAGATGTTTAAAATTGATGCCAAGAAGTGTGGAATTCGACGGTACTTCGAACTCTTTGAACAGAAAGCGAAGAGATTTAGTGTGAATTTCGATCTTTGGTTTTCGTGTGCTTTACAGCTTATTCCTGCTGAAAGGTCAGAAATTTATGATGATAATTATTATTACTTTAAAGAAAATCTCATTGCCAATTTTCAGTATGATCCACAAGCTATTCCGTGTAATAACGATCGCCAGAAAGAACATTTTAATGAGAAATGGAATTCGCCAAGTATTGTGAAGAAATTTAGATCTGAACGTGAATGTTTCTATTGTGGTGAAATAGGACATTTTAAGAAATACTGTAGACATCGAAATTCGGATTATAGAAAAGAGAATTATATCCGATTGTTGTAATCAAGTTTAAGCACGAAAGTAATTTTTATTTTAATAATATTTATAAAACAAATGCATGTTTAATGATTGGGGCAAAAATGCAGAATTTCACGTTTTTTAAAATACAATAAAAAAAAAATTTGAAACAAGCTTTCCAAAAAAATTGCAGAAGGCTTTTCATATATTCTGAGCTCAAATAAAATCATCGATTAAATAATATTAAGTACAGTTAGTTCTAAAAAAATTGAAAGCTAATGTTCCCAAAATGGGAATGATGGCGCCTAACGGGTTAATATGTTTCGCCAAAATCTGGATTTTAAAAAAATTCATTTCAATGGAAAGAAATCTTTTATTTTACACTTGTTAAGTCATTTGTTTAAGCATATTTCATGTTATAAAATATCCAAGTTGTCAAAATCTACATCTATCATTTTAAAATATTCTATGTTTTTCCAAATTTGTGCAACTGTATACATCATATTGCAACTGTTACTAAATTATGTAAAATTGTTCTTTATGTGTGAAAATAAAAGATATTAGATTTCATGATATTTAGTGTTTAATTTTTGATCCTTATAAAACTATTTTATGAAATCTCTAAATATTTAAAAAATATCTAAATTTATAATAAATTTCCATTTTGAGGATGCTTTTTGGAAAAGAAAAAAAATCCATGAATTATATTGACTTGGCTTAACAGAAATAAATATTATCTTTTTGTACCTATATCTGATTAGAAAAGCATCATTGTAGTTGTTGAAGTATCATTAAACGCTACATAATTAAAGAAATGGTATAAATTTACATATTTTATAATTGTCTATGAAAAAGCCTTAGATGGAATCCCTTGAAATGATCACTTTCAAGTGGCCAATATTCAAAGAATTGAGAAATATTTTTCATTAAGAATTATTATAATTAATATCTTGGTAATAGTGTAAACCAAACAGAAAGTCCCTTTTTATATAAAGTGCTAGCAAATTACAAATAGGTAAAAAAAAATGTGTTCAAATCTGGTAAATAACAGGTTTTGGTACCACTAAATGCTTGTTTCAATGAGCGGTACATAAAAGCAAAATCTAAGGTACAATGTACCTTCCAAGTTAAGAGGTACATCTGATTTTGCCTCTGAAATCAGAGGTACATTGTGCCTTTCATTTTTAAAGGTACGTTGTGCCCTTAAAATTCAGAGGCACAAATGATTCAAATGTGCCTCTGAAATCAGAGGTACAGTTTTTAGAGTGTATGGTAGATGTGTTCTCAAGGGCATGTTACAGAAATATTTTTAAGATCATCTTTAAAAAAATGCACATTCAGAACAATGTACAGTTACAAAAATGTACAGTAAGAAGAAATTCTAAAATATAATGGCATGACAATAGAAGTAAATTGAAATATTTCATAAATACCCTTCCAAAATGATAAAGGTATAGCCAAGATTATATCACAGAAATATTTTTGGAAATATTAATAAGAACTATATTTTTGACAGCTTAAAAGTAGTTATAAAGCATGAATTGTTCTTTTTGCATGTGTGAGTGCATTCTCTGTGCCCCATACTCTCTCTGTCTCTCTCTCTCTCTCTGCCTCTCTGTCTCTCTCTCTCTCTCTCTCTCTCTCTGTGTCTCTCTCTCCCTCTCTCTCTGTAGTTGTATATGCTGCTGGGTTTTCCCGCTAATAAAAAATGTCATACAAATAACCATACAAAAATAATTTTTATTCGTAAAAAAAGCATACAGAAAAAAAATCAGTCATTGCAAATTTTGTTGTGCAACATTTTAACTTCAGTGCTTATGATTTCATTTAGACGAAACCAAATATGTACTCTTAACTTAATATTTAATTCTCTAAAACACAATAATATGCTTTAAGTGGCAAAATATTTACCAGATTTCTGGAGAGCAATATAAAACATTCCGGTAAAAAGTACTGGTACTTTTTACCTTAAAATCCATTTTTACCGGAACATGTTACGAATAAAAAATCTGATATACTGTAATTTTCATTTAATTAAATAAATCGTTACTAATAATTAAATAAATCATACCAAAAAAATTTATAATAAATCATAACAAAAAAATATATAATATTTTACAGTAAAATGGATTTTGCGGATGATGCACTTTTAAGTGCCAGTAGTGTTTACCGTAATTTGTTCCGGAATTTTTTTTACAGTGTTTTCATTTAGCAGCAATGAAACTGGCAAGCACTCAAACTACTTTCGACTATTACAGGATCAAAATTTAGTTTAAAGTTTTATATTGTAGTCGGTTGAACATTTTATCCGAAAATTATAAGAAAATTTCTTTAAATTTGCGACATCTAATTAATAAACCATAATAAAACATGCAAAAAAATAATTCATTACACTATCAAAACTCAATAATTTCAGTATTTCAAATAGAGCAACAAAGAAACATTTTTTTAAATTCAAAATTGTTTTTGTGTTATAAAAATATTCATGTAACCTTTAACGATTAAATGCCAACGCTGCTGTGCGTTTTAATTAAGAGACACGCCTATAAACACAGTCTCTCTTTTTCATTTCGGTAATTATTACATCACTGCGAAATATTGCGTCTACGCAACATTTTGCAGTGAAGCTTTTTTAAGCCCCCATTAATTCTAGTTTTTAGAAGTTGTGTGACTGATTATTTCATAAATGAAAACAAACGCAAATAAATTACTTTCTTTAATAATGAGGGAAGAAATCTGTAATTTCAAATATAATTCTGCTACATTATTACTCTTATGCATATGATTACATTAAGACGAGGCCAAATATATCCATCTTATTAACTATTACGTTCTATAATAAGCGTTAAATGCAAAAACATTTACTAATCATTACATACAATGGTTAGGGCCACTGGAGTGCTTATTAACTATTTAGAAATAGCAATGTAATTGGCAAGAACTCAAATTGCTTTCGGCTATTAGACGAACCAAAATGTAGGGGAAAGTGTTATTACACTTGGCTAAGAATTATATCTAAAAATGATCAAAAAGCACATTTCGCCAAAACTCATTACCAGCAGCTACCATTTAATTGCTCCAAAATTTTGCCCCAAGTGTTTGGAATAATTTCGCAGAATAACAAGGCATTCTGTATTCCTTACACGAAATGAACTATATTAAAAAAAAAAAAAGTAAGAAAATTTTACCATTGCGTTTTTTTGGTCGCCAATAATTTTACCTCTATCTCTCCCCCTTGCCCCTATTTCATATCTCAAATACGCATGCGCGTTAAAGCGCTGGTTACGCCCACGGTTGTTAGGAGAGACAAGTGATTAGAATCCAACGAATAAATACAGAAGCATTAGGGCAGTTCCTAAGACTGGGTTGTCATAATTTGGCGATTAATCAAAAAAATATTTTTTGTTTCTTTTTATGTATATCTTGCCCTTTAGGCGGGTGATCGCGCGGCTACAATTTCACACGCGGTGGGGCAATTAATGTACTTTTTACGTGTTACTTGCCGAGGAAAATAAAATATTTCCTTCAAAACGACGTTCTAAAAGTAGCTTTGCTTCCGTGGGCATGTCTTAGTGCCTGAAAAATGGAGGCTAAGAAAATTGAGGGGTGTATTAAACTTAAAATGCGGGAAGAGTCTTGTCGAGTTTGGTGCTTATTTTAGCACGTTACACATTAACTGTTTACTCACCTTTTTACCTGAATTGTATTAAAAGTGGTGTTTTGATAAACAGGCACGCAGTCTTGTTAGGGTGTTGCAAAAGATCGAGGATATAATTTTTTTTTTTTTTTTTTTTTTTTTTTTTTTTTAAATCATCGTCAGTTAAAGGCAGTGGCGTGCAAGGGAGTTTGGGTGCTTGGGGCAAACTCAGCGCGTTGAAAAAAATTCTGGTTAATTACCGTATAGTATAGTAATAACATTTTTAATAAAAAGACAATGTAAATTTAGCTAATAAAACCAATTTTACACGGTATTCAATTACTAATTTTTTCATTCATATGTTAACGGTTTACCGGAAATTCTAGTTTTTAAATTTATTATTGTTATGACCACACATTTAGTAAAAAATACAAAACTGAAAAGTAAATTCAATCGAATAAATGGTTTTAACACCATTCTCTAAGATATCATGATAAAATTACTGAATTTTACCACATTTATCAAATTTTATCAAATATTATAAAATTACGTTTTATTGTCAATTTTGCTAAAATCATTACCAAACCTCTTTGGTAAAATTTAACGAGCTTTTTGTGCAGACCATAAAGTTAACATGGTAAATTTTACCATATTTTGATAGTTTTAACAATACTTTTTTCCTCAGTGTAAGATTAGATGCCTTTGAAAAGAAAGGTACGTAACTACTGCAGGGAAGAAAATCAATTTAATTTTTTAAAAAATGGAAAGAAAAATCTTAATCCACATTTTAAATTTTTTCATGTAATGTAAGCAGAAACAATTCTAAGGAATAATCTCTTAATTTTTCTTTTCCTTTCATGCAAGAAAAAATCAAATTTTAATGTTGTTTCATGTTCGTTCATTTTTCAGCGAAATTTTTTTTAGTTATTTACTTGTTAGTTTATTTATTTATGTATCATTTCTTTTAACTCAGAAAATATTTAAGTAATTCGCTATTAAGATCGAAACGACTGTCCGAATTCTGCGATTTTCATTTTCATCTAAATGTGATGAATAGAGATTCAGGTTCAAGTCTCAAAACAAACTGAAGAAATAAAACGGACACGACAGCATTTTAGTATTTTAGTATACTTCCCAAACAATCCACCAAAATATTAGCCTTGATATGGTTTCTGTAACTGGGCAACCAGATCAGACATGGCAAATCTGGTTTGCTATTAATTAAAAGCAACTAACTGTCAGTATTTTATTTTATAACCGTCGTTGAACAGCCGACCCAATTTTATGGGTTTACGACTACTAATGTTCAACTCCGTAGCCTTGTAATTTTGAACCAATCCAGAAGACAAGGTAACTCCTGTGTCAGTACCCCCAGAGGTATTGATTTGTTATGGGAACATGGAAGACTTTGCGACTCGACAGATTTACCGTGCATCAGTCACCATTTACAACACGGGAAGTCTGCGGCCGGCAGGGATCGAACCCACGAACTCTTGGACATGGCCTCGGCGTCCAACCGACTAGGCTATCCCGGCCTACACAGACATGTTGGCGATTTTATAACTTCATAAAGTATCTTAAATAATTAAAACACCAGTATTTGCTAACATTGAACTGCAAAATAATGAAGGTGGCCCAACCAAGAATCCAAGCCCTACGTTCTTTAATGTAAACTAAAACCCTCTCACTAATTTTTAGATTACTGGACTTCAAACTTCGAAACTATTAAAGCTAAATTTGCGTTAATGCAATTATCATTGATAGATATTAATTGAAACAAAATGTGTGGGGGAAAACTAACATGAATTAAACTAACATGAGCCATCGAATAATGAAATGAAACTCAATTGCCAAAACAAACTAGTTATTAAAAACTTGAAAATAAAAACAGACTTAGAACCAAGCTTAGAACATACTTGAACTATAAAATAGTTGGGAAAAGGAACTATGCGCCCTGAAGCTCGCATAAAAGCCAAAGTAATAAAAGTAAATAAAACCTTGAAGAATTCGACGATTGAATTCTAAGCTAAACACGCTATACGAAATCCCTAATCCAGCTGACAAGCACACAAAATATTCCCGTTCACAAGTGTTTCAGAGCGCATGCGTTAGAAAGCAACAAGTAACAAATAAGAAGAGATTTCTTCTAACAAGTTATTGTTAAATTATTCATCTACGGCTGAACAAAATGATTAGTCCTCTTCTTTCTTGACTTTGAGCTATTTACTAAGGAAACACTAACTGAATCTAACTGATTAATTTCAATTGAACTAACTGATTAGATTTAGTCAGTGTTTCATTACTAACTGAAAACTAACTGAATATGGTGACATTTACCGTGTTCCTGGCTCTACGGGAACACCAAAAAGCTCAGTAATCTTTACCGAAGCCCTTTGATAATGATTTTGGTAAAATAAGCAACTTAATATAGTTTTAAAATGCGTGATAAAATTTGATAAAGGTGGTAAAATGTGGCCATTTTATCATGAAACCTTAACATCGCATTAAAACTGTCGGTTAAATTTACTTTTAAATTTTGTATTTTTTACTAAATGTTTAATAAGAACAATAATTAATTAAAACTAGAATTTCCGGTAAACCGTTACCATGTGATCGAAAAAATTACCGAATGAATGATTTAAATTCCGTATATTTTAATTTTATTAACTAGAATCATGTTTTTTTCCCTCTGTACTAAAATTGACATTACCATACTGTTCGATAATTTTGTCAGAATCTTTTTTCTCCATGCATGATGTAAAATAGTTTGAAATCAAACATAAACTGGAGTTTTTGTAAATTATAATAAATAGAGTAATACAATGTGGGGTAAAAAAGACTACCCGGAAAAACTTTTGATATAATGATCGGATCTTCAAGTTCTAGGACTCATTCTCAATAGTTTGAGTAGGTAACGTCAGATATGCTAATTAATTAATGCAGAAGATATTTTAATCTACAGAATTAGACACAAAAACATAGTTTCTCTGAATAATCATACCTTTTTTTTTTTCAAATGATTTGAATTTTTGAGTCCCAAAATATAGGGCTATCCGCAATCTGGGAAATGTGATCCCCATAGTTTGGCCAGTAGATAGATCCAATGTTTGGATCCTTAATGTTAATCTCACTTTTTTCATTTTGTGCCATATCTCGAAAAATTTTAAAGTGAATTGAAAAATTTTTGCACACAATTATAAAATTTTTTTATTCAAAGATTCCATGTAAAAAATAACTTTTAGTAAATATTTATCACTTTTTTATTATTTTATTTAATTTTAACCGAAAATTTTTGAATTCTAAAGCATGCAAATTTTTACATTACTTTAAAGAAAATAATTTTGCATAGCATAATACAAAATTTACGTGAAATCGGTCGAATAGTTCCTGGGAAATTGAATTTCGAGAAAGTCGTATTTTAAAAATTCGATTTCTTAGGAAATATTCGATCGGTTTCAATCAAATTTTGTATTTTGCCATATAAAATTATTTTCCTTAAAATGATGTAAAATTTTGTATACCACATAGTTCAAAAAATTGTCGAGTCAAAAATATTAAATAAAATAATAAAAATTATAAATATTTATCTAAAGCTTTTTTTTTTTTTGCATGGAAATTATATTTGAATAAACTAATTTTATAATTGTGTACAAAAATTTATCAATGCTCTTAAAATTTGCTCGAGATGTTGCGAGATACGCATAAAGTAAAATTAACATTAAGGGGTCCAAACTTTGGATCGCTCACCTGACCATATTATGGGGACCATAATATTGTACCATATTTCCCAGATTGCAGCCACCCACTGTATTTTGAAAGTCAGAAATTCGAATCAATCGAGAAAAAGATATGTTTGTTCAGAGAAAGTAAGTTTTTGTGTCTGATTTCGTAACTCAAAATATCGCCTGCACTAAATAACTATCGTGTTTGAGATCACACCCTTGAACCATTAAGAATGACTCCCAGAACGTAAAGATCCTTTCATTAGATCAAAAGTTAAGTTGTCCGTTTTTTCTTTCCACTATACATCAATCAAGGCAAAGTAACTAACATATTACTTTCTTATAAATTAATGTGTTTTGCATAAATCATTAAATTTGAAGTAATATATGGAAATTGATGCGCGTTTTATTGCTCAAATAAATCTATCAAAACAAAATAATTGTTCCTTTTTACTATTATTGTTGTATGTGATATTAAAATATGAAAATGAAAACAAATCGATATCAATGTAACTGTAGGCATGAAAGCACCGTTTTTTATTATCACTTTTTTCGGTAATTGTTAGTCTGTGACATATAAAAATGAGAAATTGAAAGTAAATCATACTTTTACAAACATACTTGATGGATTATATCTATCAAAACAAAACAAGAATAGGGAATTTATCATAACTTATTTTAAAAAATTTCGTTGCGTCATATATTTAAATTTAACTTAATGCATTCATTCGTGTATTATGTTTGAAAGATTAAACATATCAAAATAAAACACTTAAACCACAAATATTTCTAGGAAATTGAGCTGCGTTTGATATTAAAGTGTAAAACTAAAAATATTTATGTAAAATATCATTTGTTGATTACATACATCCATCAAAACAGAAACTGAATTCCCAATTTTTTCAACAATTTATTGCACATGAAAAGACTTGTTTTTCAATTCTGTCAGATCAATTCTTTATTTATTTCACCAACTTCAAGTATTAAATTTAACAACAACAAAAAAATTTAATAAATAAATAAAAAAGGGAAAGAAAGAAAAAACATTCAAAACATTTCGTAAATATTTTTACTTGCTCTTACATAAAGATGTTTTTCGATCTATGTAGGCAAAACATATAAATAAAAACAATAAAATAAAATCCCCAAAAAATTCAACCGCATTCAAATTGACCTATTTTTCCAGTAAATTATTTTTACTATTTTCCTGGAACTATAAGAGGAAATAAAAGTTTCTGTGAGAGATTTTCCGTTGCCGTTAAATGGATTTCCTAGAACTTCTGAACAATTGTTTTGTTTAACGATTCGCTTTCCGTCACAAACGGCAGAAAATTACCAGCATGTTCAAACAGCGTTTTCCATAACAAAAGAAATTCTTTCGATCCTAAAAAATTAAGTAGAAAGTTGAAAGAAAAAAAATGAAAAGCAAAAGGTCAAAAAGTGAAAGTAGCTCACTGCTTTCTCTTAAGAATTACTGAGCTAATTTAAATGCAAAAATGAAGAATGTTTTTTTAAAACTTAACATGACTTGCTACATAAAAAAATAACGTGTATGATTATTTTAAATGTGCAAAGTGTAATAGATTTTATGTTATTATTAGTATTGTTAGGAAGTAATCTCTTTTTTATTTTATGACAAATATTTCAAACAGAAATATTATTCGTGGGCTGTTTTTAAAACTTTTATCAATACATTTTAAAAAAATTTAGTGAATAGTTGCAATCATTTTTGGCGATGAGGTAAACTAAATACATTTTTAAGTACTGAACTGTAGTTAATTATATTAAATTAACAAAATAACAATCGTTTGAAAGATTTATAAGAAATATAATACTGAAAATGTGTTTGTTTTTTAAGCGCAATGCTTTTGCAATGAAGTCATAAAATATGTTTTGTCAGTAAGCAAACTAACAGAAAATTAATGAATAAATTACAAAAATTATAGTAATAAAAAAGTAAATAAAAAATATGACTACGTGCACTGTGAAAACTTTTAGCTTATCTCAATACCGAAAATGGAGGCAACTCTGCAGAAAATTTTCTTACAGTGCACTAACTCGCATAGCGGACTTTATATTTATAGATTTCATATTTAATTTTCCCGAACCTCACACTGAAGGTGTGATATTTATAGTCAAGAATCAGAGATTCTAAAGTTTTCTGATTCCAAATGAAAAAATGGGAAAATGGAAGAAAACAAGATTTAAAAAAAAAATTTAATTCGTGTAAATATGCAAAGTGTGATAGTTCTGCTGATATAATTTCTGTTATTATTAAATTTGTTATATCATGTTTTCGTTTTGATTAGAAAGAAATATTTAAATAATTATATTGAGCAGTGATGGCTCAGGGGATAGAGCGTTCACCTTCCAATGAGGTGAACCGGGTTCGAATCCCGGCAATGGCTGGTCGATACGAATCCGCATCCGGCTTGCACCGACCACAGTGCTGACGAGAAAAGTCCTCAGTGGTAGACGCATCATGGTTTAGAGTCCCCCTGCCGTCAGGCTAACCGTGGGAGGTTCTCATGGTCTTCCTCTCCGTGTAACGCAATCCATCAAAAAGTCCTCCACGAAGGCAAATTTCTCCCTATACTTGATCCATCGGATTGGGTTCAAAATTACAAGGCTACGGAAATGAACATTAGTAGTCGTAAACCCAAACATTGGGTCTGATGTTCTACGACGGTTGTAAAATAAATAAATAAAAAAAAAAAAAAAATGAATTCAAACTATTCTCGTATGTAATTTTTTATCACTACCAAATCACGCGGTAGATATTATAGTTAATAGTCTGAACTTTGCAATTTTCAACCTAACTCAAAAGACAAGCAATTTTTTTACTTTATTTAAGAATGAAAAATTCTTAAATCGGCTAATTCTAAATAAATAATTTCAAACAGTGATTGAAAAACAAAATTCTAAAGAGTTACTCAGCTGATTAAAATTTTGAAATGACGAATTTATTTTATAACTTAATAAAACGCTATTTAGTTGCATTAGGTAAAATTTATGAGTGTAATTTACTTGAATATGCAATCCAGATTATTATTAGTTTAATCATAGTTAGCTCTTTAAAATGAGTTTAAATTTCATAACAAATATATCTTTTGCGAACATTTCTGTTCTTTTTGGAATTTTTAAAAAATTTAGAGTCTAAAAATGGTAGAAAGCAGAAAATCCTAAAACTAATATTCTCTCGCTTATTTTGTGATCCTTTTTCTTCCCGACGAACTTGGAATCGCAGCATCTAACATTTTTCTAAACATTTTTTTATTTATTTTTACTTAATTTTAGCAAATAAACTGATGCGGATATTTACTAATTCAGCAGTATCTTATCAATATATAAAATACAAAGCCGTCATCGAATCATAATTTGAGATACAAGGTATGTGGTATTTCAGATTCACTATTCATTTTTTTCTTGTAAAATTATACCAATACATCTGCGATCATCAAAGACAGTTCATATTATGCATTTGTCTATTTTAAGATTTTTGATATAAAAGTTTGTTTTTGCGAAGTTTACGTTAAAAATTATATTTTTGGAATTATTAAAGCAAAGATAAAACTTTTAGCGTAATAAACAAAAGAAAATATTTTATTATATAAAGGAAAAATTTATTAAGATTAAAAGAAAATTTCATAACAAGCTCATACCTTGTGAGCTGTACAACAAACTAAAACTGAAGAATTCTCAACTATAATGGTATGTCTGCAAGTGACGTAGTGTTAGTATCACGATTCTGATTGGTTGTTGAAACCTGGAATTTTTTACGATAGCAACTGTTCTTTCCATTCTATTTCGAATAAGCCAAGCCTGAAAATATCAATTCTCTTAAATGACACATTCTATATTCTTTCACTATATATTTCTTACTTAACACAAAGACAGGCATGAAGACATGTAGAACATAAATTAATCATGCATCGAAGTTGCCATGTACACAATGCAAAAATATATCTCGCTCGCAATAAACAAATAATAAATCTAATTTAAGTAAAAGACGTAGCCTAGAAAGAAGCATATTTCACCAAATCGATGTGCGATACGACGTTATATTTAATTAACTTACGTTAATTAGCATTACGATAATTAGCGTTAATTAGCATTCTAAGTTATGTAGAGAAACTCAGCTCAACTTTAACACTCGCCATTTTGCTTATAAGCGATCAGTTGGTGCTGACGTTATTTGTCACATTTGTGGGTATCAGTGATCTTCTTCTGAAGAGCCAATACCCAATTCTAAAAAGGATTAAACATATGCAAAATGATTAATGCTTATGTTAACCATGTATTTCTGATGCATTACTTTACAATCGTCATTCAAATTGGTTTCCATTAGCTTAAATGTAATAAAATTAAATTTTCAGAAAAACTTAAACTCAAGCAAATGTGCAGTTTTAAATGTCTTAGTTAAAACCAAAAATCATTTAATTTTATTTTATTTCTTCACATTTTGAAAAAAAAATCTATTGCAGTTTTTTCCCCCTCTCTCGTAAATAACCAATAAAATATTTTAAGACTGTCGCACTGGCATCGTGCTATACATTATTAAATCAAATCAATTATGAGTTCTTAACCTATTTTACAGCAGGACAAGTTTCACAGGCAATACTGAATGGTTCAAGTTAATGCCACTAAATTCAGTTTGAAATTTCTTATAAAACAATAAGTTAAATTAAATGGTATAATTTAAAGTCCAGCTTATAATTAGCTCAAGGTTTTTCCTTTGTTGATGTCCTCATTATTTTACAGTTTGCAATGTGCGTCCGAAATAAATAGTAGCTTAGAAAGATTAAAATTCCTGAATACAAAGAAAGAAACAGTTCCAATTATTTTTCGCGCGAAATTATTTAAGATATTTTATTTTCCAGTTCTTTTCAATACTCGTTTAATTTCGAAATCGATTTCAGCCTCCACTAAAATAAATGAACATTTGTTTTCGTCTAATTCTCATGGTAAAATTCAATCAATGCATATTTTTGCATACAATGCCATTTTTGAAATAATAATTATATGCAAGTTAAATTAAAGACAAAAAAAAAAGGAAAGAAATGCGATCCAAGCGTTAAACTTTCGCAAATGTTAACCATAAAGATATCACAGCTAGAGGCTGCACTATATAACTTAACAATGCAATTATTATTCAATCAATTGCTGTAATATTGTATCACGCGTATTGTTCATTTCGGGTTTGTTTTTTTTTTTTTTTTTAATTATTTTTTCTATTTTGATTTTAAATAATCAGTCATGACAACTAAAAAAATAACATTATGAGAGAAAATTAATCAATTTTCCATTTTAGAAGATATTTTAATGTTTTGGTTAAATTTAAGGTTAAAATTTATCCTTTTTCTGCAGTGAATGATCTAAAATCATCGTTATTTCAAGTTTTTACTGAGTTAAGTACATTAGTTTAAGATTGAAATCTGTTAAAAGATCATTATCTAGCATCCAATTGGTAATTCAGCGAAGATTTAGAATATTACTTACATAAAGTTGTGTATCACTTCTTCTTCTTTTTCTTTCAAACAATTGAATTGCAGCTGTAATTACGTTTCTCAATATCTGTTTCAGGAAACAAACTCACTTTCAGAAAAACCATTGAAGCCGTATGCCTTCTATATAACAGATAACAGTTAGCTCGTTATTAAGTTAGCAGCTAACTTATTACGACATTTCAAACTGAAAAAGCATTAAATATCATATATAACTAAACTCTGGTGCGCGACAGCCCAAGAGGGCCAAGGCCTACTGTGCCCATCTCAGTTTTCTTGACCTTGGGCTCTGGGGTGCAGGAGCAGATGTTCCAGTCAGGTGGTCAGCCGAACGCGGAACCCCCAGTGTTTAGTTCCCAAGCATGCTTGGTACTCATTTATCGACCCACTGAAGGGATGAGACTGATATCGACCCACTGAGTCAACCTTGCCCGACCCGAGGATCGAACCAGGGACCTGTGGCACGACAGCGCGAAGCAGTAACGCTCAGCCACCAGGCGTCTAAATATCATATATATCATCCAAATATCATCCACCACCATCACCTTTATCATCCAAATTAGTTGCAGCCTTAAAGACTCATATTTTCACATATGCTGAATGTATTATGAAATCAAGTTTAGGAAAGATTATTTTGCCCAATAATATGGTTCCACATTGCTACTTATTATGGTAGAAATAAATTTTGCATGATATTATGTGCTCTAAATAAATTTTCCTAAAAAAGGAGTTAAAGGTGTAGGAAAGAATTATTTGATCAATAATATGGTTCCCGTTTGCTTCATGTTATGGTTGCAATTAACTTTGTCTCTGTTCAATATTATAGTACAATGTGTTCAAAATCAATGTGACTTAAAAATTTGCAAACCGAACTAGTTACTAAATAATCATGTTTAGGAAGGAATGATTTGCCCAATAATATGGTTTCAATGTGTTCCATATTATGAATGGAGTAAATTTTGCTCGGTATTATAGTACATAGTTTTATAAAAAATTTTACAGTGTATCAATCAAGTTTATAATCAGTGTATCAAGTTAATCAGTACGTCAAGTTTATGATCAGTGTATAATCACGTTTAGGAAGGAATGATTTGTTCAATAATATAAGACTTCTATGCATATTGAATGGAGTAAATTTTGTTCGGTATTATAGTACATAGCGTTATAAAAATTTTTACAGTGTTTCAATCAAGTTTATAATCAGAGTATCAAGTTAATCAGTGCGTCAAGTTTATGATCAGTGTATAATCACGTTTAGGAAGGAATGATTTGTTCAATAATATAAGGTTTCAATGCCTTCCAGTATTGAATGGAGTAAATTTTGCTCGGTATTATAGTACATAGCGTTATAAAAATTTTTACAGTGTATCAATCAAGTTTATAATCAGAGTATGAAGTTAATCAGTGCGTCAAGTTTATGATCAGTGTGTAATCAGGTTTAGGAAGGAATGATTTGTTCAATAATATAAGGTTTCAATGTGTTCCAGTATTGAATGAAGTAAATTTTGTTCGTTATTATAGTACATAAAATTCTAAAAAAAATTACAGTGTATCAATATAAGACAAGTCCAGCTTATTCCGTAGCTTAGTATCATATATGTATGTTTTGTTGTTTACATTTATTAAATACGATTGTTATTAGATTTTGACATTTTTATTCACTGCAACATTTTAAAATGAAACTCTTTACAACAGATATTATCCAGAATTTTATTAACTTGTTCCACATTTAATATCTTTTATAAATAAATGTTTAAGATGAGAAATAAACCTTTTTTTTTTTAATTTTAATGAATATGCTTTACAAAAGTTTTTTTTTTTTTTTACCTTACATAACATGGTTAAAACTTTTGAATAATAATTTTAGGAGAAAAACTTGCTGAAAATATTAATAAAATGCTGCAAACGGATTAGCTTCCTTTCAACAATAGTTTCGAAAAAGCGTTTTTTTTTTTAAAAAATTTTTAATTTTTTTTTACTACAGTTTTTAAATTTCGAATGCCTGCATCTGAATCATAATATACTCTGCAAAAAACATTGCAACATTTCGGAATGTAATCTGATACAAATTCGATTAAAACTTAAGCAGTGTACAGATTGAGACATTCATTCCCCCCCCCCCCCCCAANCCCCCCCCCCCCATAAAAAATTTGTGAATATTCACTGCAAATTTGATGATAACTTAACTGTTTTGAACATGTTAAACTGTAATATCTTAAAAGTTTGCTACTACTCTAATGCAGCGGGGGGGGCTATTTTGATTTAGATCACCGTATTTCTTAAATTTCATTGCACAATACTGTGGTTCAAGAACAAAACACATAGTACGATTTAACAACTAATTAGGGTAGCACAAATTTGCACAATATTATGGCTCAAGATAACGATATTATTGTTCAAGATTGAACTGATTTTTCTGAGAATATAGACAATAATGCCCCTAAGTGTGATGATCCATACTTTTCTTTAGGACCTTTACTGTACTCAGCTCAAATGATTATTTCTACACGGAGAAAAAAATCTGGTAAAATTACCGTTCTGTATGATAATGACATTTCTGTTTTTTTTTTTTTTTTTTTTTTTTTTTTTTTTTTTTTTTTTTTTTAATAATGATAATTCTAGTAAATTAAAACTGTAAAATATACCGTATTTAAACCATTTAATTAATTGGAAAATTTTCTGTTCATATGGTAACGGTCTATCGGAATCCTGGTTTTCAAGATTATAGTTCTATTACCACACATATGGAAAAAATATAAAACTAGGAAGTGGTAGGTTTTGTTTGTTTGAAAAGCATGTTATTAAAAAGATTTTTTTAAACTTGAAATTTCATTTTTATTAAAGAATAGGAAATTTTTTGCAATTTTTGATGAATTTGAGATTTTTTGAAAGACATTTCCAGTAAAACAAAAAATTGGTAATAAACCCAAATTAAACGGTATTTACACCATTCATCTGGTAACGGTTTACCGAAAATTTTGGTTTCAAAATTACGGATCATATTACCTCACATACAGTAAAAAATACAAAGTTAAAATGTAAATTTAGCCGAATAAATAGATTTCAACACCATGCAAGGTCTCCTGATAAAATTAACAAATTTTAGCCCATTTTAACACAGATTATGAAACAATATTATTTTGTTAATTTAACCAAAATCATTATTAAAGTGCTTCAGTAAAAACTACCGCGCTTTTAGGCTTTACCATACAATGAGAACCACGGTAAATTTTCTGGTAGTTTTGACCATACTTTTTATCTCAGTGTACAATATAGAACGGAAAAAAAATTGTTGACAAGTACATACACAACTATATT